CAAATTATAAACGTGAGTTCAAAGAATATCAAAGGAATCAATAGCTATTTTAACGTTTTCAGAGTTACAGCTCTTTGACCAGTGTCAAATGGATGGGTTGGCTTTAGCTTGGCCTCCTTTATAAGGTTTTGGTAAAAAAAATGTCATTTTTTTTTAAATATCGCAACATGCTTTGGCACTTCAATTGGGTGCGGACAAAATGACACAACTAGCATGATCACTTACTAGACCTTTTATTTCAGTCCTCTGAAATCTTCTATTTGTTCAAGCTTTGTAGGCTCCTCTAACAAAGACAGTGCAAAAATATCGGTCTAAAAATGAAATTCTTGAGTGCTCGTGTGTAGTTGACTATAACAGGTGTTCCTTAACTCCCTTAGTCCATTTTACCGAAAATTTCTTGCTTAGATAAATTTGATTTAATTTGTCGTTATCTGACTAGCTGAATCCATAAAGCCGGGGAGTTTAACCAATTGCTTTAGAGGGACATCTTAATATTATAATCACAGTTATCAAGTTAACTGAAGGGTTCATCTCATCACAGAGTCTTCAGCCTGACAAGAGCAGTGGAGCAAACACCGAATTGCCAAGTGTCCGAGCAATGTCATGGTTTGAACGTAATCTACTCATAAGGCCAGGGCTTTCAAGTTTCCTCTATAACCAATTGCCTTAGCGGAATAGCTCAGTTTTTAAGGATTTAATTTCCTAAGATTGTCAAGAAGAACCTGTTATAGTCTAGGTGTTTTTGAAAGTCAAGGAATCTCATCTTTAGAGTTCAATTTTCAAGCAACTGACCTAAACTGGATTCACCTACTCGACTCTTTCTTTTGTAAAGATCATCATCGTCATTGAACGTCTTAAATAAAAAACATAGTAATTGTCATATGCAAATGATGCCCCATGTTGTCCGCACCTTATGAAAGGAAAAGGGTATATTGGTTAATTACAAGAGCAGGGTATGGTGTTTGAGGTATATTCTGGATAAGGTCAAAGTCTTTTTTTTTTTTAAACATGTTACTTTGTCAAAGATCCGTAACTTTGAACCATTAACAGAGTTTCTTAATTCAAATGATATTCAAAGAATTGCAAGTTTGCAAATGTGATTTATTGCTCGCCATCATTAAAGCAACATAAATTTATTTAAAAGTCCTTGCAAAAACTTGAGAAAAGAATGAAAAAACAAATCCAAACATAATGGCTCAAATGATGAAATGATATGCCTCACTTAGATGCCCCCAAGTTGTTGAAGCCGATCTGATTCTTGTTACGTATTTTCTGTATGATTCTCTTGATGGTGGAGTAATTCTCGATAGTGCACCCTGGGACTCCGCTATGATTTTCGCAATGAGCGTTCTCATCATACTACCTGGGGTACGGGGCTTCATGGACACCACGTGTGCATCAAACAACTGTTGGTAAAGCTCCTTATATGTCATAGGATCGGAATATTCTCATTTTTGATGAGACATGTGAATGTAATGAAAAAAAGGGAATCATAATGCGAATGTAAAGAAAAGTAACAAAATGCACAATATGTCTGAATGTATGATGCATGAAATGTTCGAGGCATTGATCCGAAAAATGTGCCTATTATTCTGAATAATCCTTATTGGGGACAAAAATATTACGTCTGAAGAGACAAAAAACTTTTTTGATGGTATAGATCCTGCACAGCCTCTGGAAAGTTGATTCGTCTTCCGCTTTTTCACCGGTTGAATATCTTGTCGAACCATTCCAGTTCCTTTGGCTAAACTTGTGCGGGTAACGAGTTGCTTGCTCCAAAAAAGGTCTCGAATGACTGCATCTCCGGCCTTCGCTCTATGCCGCTCGTTCCAAACGAAAGTGCCATTGGAGCCCTCAATCCGAAGTTTGTCGACCTGTTCTTGGAATAATGGTCTCCGGCTTAGCTAGGGTTTCACCATCTTGTTCTCGTAATTTTCGAAAGGACTCTCCGGGTCAGTAACCATTTCCTCGTCTTGCCCCTGCAACTTTTGCCTCTGAGTATTCTTTGATCACGGTTGGACTTCTGAGCTTTTTTATCTCTTTGTATTATAACCCCTTTGTCCATTAATGCAGATTATTTACGTTTAACAAACACATTTTTTGTGGATCAATACCTCGTTTTAATGATGCGAATGATAAAAAAAAATGCCAAAGAATAAAAATGAAAGGAGGAAAAAAAAAGTTAACGAGATAATGATGATAATAATAAAAATGATGAAAATGAAAAGTCTTACCCCCACATGATAATCTACCCGAACATGCTTAATATTCCTACACAAACATGATTTCTATCCCGCATGCTAATTTCAAACAAATCCTAGCCGCATATTTGTCTAGTTCGCATGCTTTGAAAAATAATGCAGGAAACGAAACAGCCTAGGGTTTGGAATGAGGTTTTGGGGTGGGCTCTAATTCCATGTACTCTCCCGGTTTAGGTTCTAAAAAGGTACTCGAGTTCTCCTTGCCGGTGCCCCCTTGGGCTTGCCAGACCCTTAGTCCTAAACCCATCACAGGCTTGTGTGGACTAAGTTAAACTCGAGAGGACACATTCCCTTATGCCCGCATGGTGAATAAATTCACACGAAGACATAAGGTATATGAATCCCGAAGGCTACTTGCTAGGCATATGCGGTGAATAAATTCACACGAATGCGTCGCTTTCACCCCCACTTAAAACGGGTTTGGAGCTCGGGTTTAGAGCTTAGAGATGACAATTTTGAAAAATCTGAAATCATTGAACAAACGTTAGTACAACTATTTACTTGAAAGATAATCAAAGGTAAATAATCGGAACCGAATAAATAAATTAAAATTTAAACTTACAATTTTCGCATAAAAAGACAACCAGAAATTAATTCTGGCCTGACTCACTTACCTGTCCCCAGCGGAGTCGCCAAGCTGTCGAAACCGTCTTTCGGTTGGGCCCCGGAATTGGGCTTCGACTTGAAAAATGTGGATTGGAGTCGCCACCGATCATTTACTTTACGAAAAGTGGGTTGATCGGATACCTTATTTCTTACATGGTCTGCGTCTTACCAGTGATATGTCGGATCCGGGAGTCGGTTACGGTCAAGGAAGGATTAGCACCCTTGAACCGCCCTTTCGGTACTATGTAATTTCCAGTTGTCTTTAATTGCGAAAAATTAAAATTTAAAAATTCGATTCGAGTTGCTTACCTTTGATCGGTTGAGATTATTACTAAAAATGGCAAAATGAATGTCAAATTGAAAAATAAAAATAATAAAGAAATATCAAATAGATTAAAAAAGGTTTTAGTAAAGCCTGAATTAAAATGTACTCAATGATGGCTAAAGATTCATAACACATGAACTATAATTAAGGCGCAAACAAACGTGAGAGTTAAAGTGAAATTAACACAGGGACCAAAGTGTTACAATTCAAGAGAATGAAGCTACATCAAACTTCATTTAAAACTAAAATGGTTAATGGCTTAATTTAATCAATGCATTAAACACATGTTCATAAACAAAACACAAATAAGGGATCATCTCACTGCTTCACGTAAAATACAGAGAGAGAGAGAGAGAGAGGGAGAGAGAGAATGTTACAATGCTTTCGCCAGGAATAGGTGAACCGCCGCTCGCAGTCACTCTCCGCCGTTTAGTTTCAAACTTCAAAGGAAAGTTCGTCTCAACGCCAACAATTCGAATCCGTCCCCGGTTTTGAGAGAAGTGGCCTTCAACTCCACGAAAAAGCCAAAAAAACCTTTCGATTTTTCACTAATCCGATCTGATCATTCCGCCATTGGATCGTAACTGTTTCGAAGTATGTTGTTCTTCCATGTCTCTCTTTTCCAAATTCGCCGTTTTGTTTCACTTTGATACCTTGGCATCGGAGTTTCGAAATAAGCTGCTCGAAATACTCCTGGACTAAGGGAAGAGACGGTGGCAGGAGAAGGGGAACTGCGGCGTACGATATGGTCTGGGTTTGGTGTAATCAAATACACAGAGAGGAAGGGATGGACAATTTGGTTTTGCTTCCTTCCCTTGCTCTTTTCTGGTTCGGGTTTGAAATAAATCGACCCCAAACGCTTGAATATGGTGAGGTCTCTAGATTTCTTTCGCACCACTGATCTCACACTGTCACCGTTGGATCTTCACAAGGTCGAGATATATTGTTACCCCTGTCATCACCTAGCTCCTCGCCGTTGGAATTTACAAACTGATCGCCGGAGCCACCACCATCTACAACCTCAGGTAAGGTTCTTAGCCTTTTATTTCTTTCTCGAAGTTTAACAAGTGTAAATGACTTGTGTTTTTTTCTCTGTATTTTCGTCGTATACTCTCTGTGATCCTCCTCCTTTGCTTTGGGTTTACACGTTTTATTTATAATGAAAAGAACACCTATTTTTAGCTTGAGTCCTATGTAAATTGAGACTCTTGATCTGTTGGTTGTTGGTGACGTGCCGAGAAGAACGGCGTCAATTACTATTGTGGATCACTGCTCTATGTGTGGTGAAAAAAGGCTCAGTGGAGGGGGTGGGAACGAAAATTTAGTGTCTACACATGTCACAGATACATACTTAGCATTAAACCACATATTTGATCATAAAACCTACTAAACCACTTCACAAGAACTTAGTTTCTTTACCAAAACAACAAATGCAATTAGCTAAAAAATGGTAAAACGAAAAGAATATGTCAATGTCAAATTGTCCTATCTTTTGTTATTTGATTACCTCTACTCTAGTTTCCTTTTCTCCTAAAAACGAAAAGAATATTAATTAATTAAGCAATTAGCAATAATGTGCAAAAGAGTTAGCTTATTCATCCAATACATTCCATCATCAACAAAATTTAAGCTCTTTTAAACCAAACCCAACTCAAGAATCAATTGTTTGAAAGGAACAATACAAAACCCAGAGAGCTATAAAGACCATATTTCAATAATCTAAAACAGACCCAATAATCACAGGGACCCAAAAAATCAACCCAGATCATGAAATTTGAAGCTAAAAAAGAAAAGGATGAGAATTTTACTAGCTTGAAGCTTCTTGTGAAGCTTGTTGATTTCGAACGTTAACCGATCGAGTTCCCTTGAGTTTTCCAAGATTGAAGCAATTTCCGGAGACGACAAAGTTTCCTGTTTCATATCTTCGTCGGAAATAGAATGTTGTCTGTTTTGCCAGATTTTCACTTCAATCGACCAATTAGTTTGATCAAAGGTTATTACTTTTCCCCCTCGAATGACGTTTGAATTAAATATTTTTACTCGGTAATAAATTAATAATTATACTATTATAGAATAAACACTGATGGGACCTCTTTGTTAAATTAAAAAATATTCTAAGAATGAAAATTAATACTCAATATCAAACTTATAATTTAAAATAAATAAACAGGAATAACTTTTTTATGAAAAATAATTAATTAAAAGTTAATCGATGGATAATTATTATTTTTGTACTTTTTTGTCTTGGTTACGTCTTAGTTATTGACACGTGGAATATTTATAGGGGGTTTCCATCTTTGTCGCTTGTGAGATTCCACTTGTTAGGGTATACACGACTAATAATTATTAATATTATTTACAAATATAAATACAATTCTAGTTTTACCTAGAGGGAAGGAGATTTTAAGGGAAGGGAAAGGAGTACTCTTAGTGGCACGACTAGTTAATATAATGTTAAGAGATATTAGATTATTCAATTAAATTAAAGGTATGAATTCTCACGTTGTGAGTAGATCAATTTGAGATAACCGCCTCTACAATAAAATTTTACAATATCCGATTCATATTAATTTTAAACAAAAAGTAAAATATACAATTTTATTCCGTTAAAACTAAGGATGAGCATTTGACTCAATTTCGACGGATTTCGACACAAACCTATTCTATTGAGTTTTTTCATAGTTCAAAATGAATATCTTATCCGACTCGACCCAAGAATAATTATAATTGACATTTATATATTTAGAGATAATTGCTACAATACTCTCTTATCTAAATTATTTTCAATTAGGTTTATATTTTATCTAATAAAAATGAGAATTATATATATGTCGAGTCAGATGTGAGTTTTTATTTTAAAAATTGATTAAGATGATATTTTCTTAAATCTAAATCGAATAAGATAACAGGTGGAGAAATATTATACTTGAATCGGATTTAGATAGACTAAAAACCCATTTAACTCGATCCATAAGCAAAAGCGTTTAGTTTATTAATAATCAAATGGATCACTTTTCTATGTTAGGGTTATTAAACTGAATTTTATTTCAATTTTCGATTAATACTGGAAAATCTCAATTCCATCTTACTAAATATAAAATCGATATTTTTAATAAATATATTTTAAACAAGCATTTCAATTTTTATCTAAAAGTAAACACTTACGCTCTTCATCGAGCTCGAAATAAACTTTGAACTATGAACAACTTCAAGAGCCACGAAATTACAGCCAATAAAGAGATATAAGGAGCTGAAGAACTTGGATTTTCTGTCATGGTGAAACTGAACTTGTGCTAGATCTTTATAACTGGTCTAACCATGAAAAAATGTTTTCCATGGAACTAAATTCCAAGTTCTCAAGCTCGGAAATTCCGCAAGTACACGTATATTTATTTCCGGTCGACGCCTCCGTTGTGCCAGGAGCACGGACGGAATTATCCAAGCGATTCATTTCCGAAATCGCAGCATCCTGAGATTCCACATGATCGAACTTCGGTTAGGATTGAATGAACTAATGAATCACAAAATCTCAGTGTTAAAGTGAACCGTCTAAGACCGTCACAACTCAAATATTCACATCAACAAATTCATAAACAGCAAACTACATGTACCTGGTGCACGTCTTCGACAATGTCATCTTCATACATCATTGATTTTTGTGGCCAAGGTCGATTCGGAGTAATCGTTTTAGGGTTCATCGTGGGAGTACTAGTGCGAATGATGGAGTTATCCGGCTCTTCAATGCTTATTCTATCATCACTCTTCTTAGTTTGTTTTGGCTGTCGATATGAGATTTTAGAAACCACATACTCCCCATCACGCTCTTCTTCTTCAGCCCCTAAATGGTACTGATGCATCACCCAATTCGACTTTTCGGATTTACGAACTCGCTTCGAACTTTTATAGAGAACCATGATCTTCTTCCAGCCCTGGTGAATTCCATTTTCTATGACAGGTTTGGTCTTTCCGGTCTTATGCCATCGATACTCCTCGGTGATATTATATCGGTTTTGGATTCTGCGACGCTTTCGTCGACCGGTACCGTAAGCATTGATCATTCGATGAAAGAAGTAAATACTGCTTCCGTCATTCTTTGCACCTGCGGAAAATAAGATGACATTATCATTATAATCAAATTTGTGCATACACTAAAATAATGTTCTTAGGATAGATTTTAGTGTTTAAATGATTGACTGTAAGCTAATTTTAAAATTAAACTTGACTTTAAATTAGAATATATTTATTTATTAATGAGAGAGTTTATTTGTAGTTCATTGATGGTGCATGAGATCTATACACTGATGCACATCAAATATTGACATCGTTTTAGTTGGTTTAAAACATCAGAATTTTTCTTAATTTATTGATAACGTAAATACACTCGAACTCGAATCTTCTAAGAATAATAATATTTTTTTAACCACTAAAGTCACTTAACGAGTCTCCTTACTCTTAAATAATGAGAAAACTTTAAAATTAAATTAAGCCAAAAGTTTCTAAAACACTTTCAATCCATCACAATATCAATGTACATGTCTTATTCTTTGATACATGAATCTTACACGTACATAAATAATTTTTAATATAATATAATTAACTTGAAAAAGACTAATTTTAATCATACATTAATTATTAGGATATATAATTCGATCAGTTTATATTGTTTAATCATGCTTTGAACTCTAAAGATGCACGCCTTTGATCAACATACCTAGTAATGTTCAAGGTAATGCATGTCTTTGAACACTTTAAATGGAGTCCATAACTTACATACGATTACAACATATTTATACCAACACAAACAGTCAAAATCAAACGTGAATAAGGGTACAGGAAAGTCTATCTAATCCCAGGTTGCATTGATAGTTTCGGTTAACTTAAATTCATCCTACCTTGCTTAAAAGCTTATATGTGACAGTGAGTTTCTGAATATGTTGGCTTACCAGGAAGATTTTCAGGATGAGTGTAGCAAATTCCCTGATCCTCCTCAAGCGCAGGGATAAAATCATGGATAAACGGATGTGCTCTGGAGCCTCCAACGCCGCATTTTGCAGCTAAATGCTTTAAAAGCTCAGTGTCCGATGGATCAAACTTCACTCCGATTGGAAGGTCGGACCACTGAGGCGAAACCTACGTACAAAAAGAAACAAAAAGCTTCAGCCTTTCAACTAAATTATCCAGGCTTAAAATCCATGTTATGTAAAGCTAAACGTTTCCAACTTACACCACTGTTAACAACTATAAGGTAATGGCAGTTCGGACATTCACGATTCGCCCCACAGATCCGAATGGCATTCTTCAGCGTCTTTGCAATTGATCTGCTGCTACAAATAACGGGATTTTCAAGTTAAATTCTATAAATTTATCCCCATCGAGAAAAACCCAGAAACTAAAATCATCACGATGTCAAAAGAAATTAGTAAAACCGATCAGAATTTCTTAATTAATTGTTTTCATCGTTAATTTATCAGCCTTACCTCGCCATGAACACAAACAAGAGAAAAAAAGAGTACGAAGAAGAGTGTGAGCGAAGATTTTCTGTGTACTTTTTCTACAATAGGCTAAGTAAACTCGGGCGACAGAGAGAGAGAGAGCGGGAAACGGTTGCTTTGGGACGGTCTAAGAGGTTCGGAAACTGAAAACCAGCTTCGGGGAATGACGTTTGTAGGTGCTGCGGTTGACTGAACCTAGATCTAAACCATTTTGTGCTGATGTCCGGAGATTACTTAGCAGGTTCGGAAACCGAGTTTAATGGGTTTTTTTGGGGGTAATTTCCTACTTGCATCCCAAGCTAAGATAACGGTAACGTTGGTGGGGCTGGACTCCGTAAATTAATTAATCTATTCCAGTTTCCGTTAACCAAAAAAATAAAAATAAAAATATAAAACTTACTATAGCTTACGCGGTAAGAGTTAAAAGGAAGTAGGAACGAGAAAAAAAATCTATAAACTTATTTGAATTGAATAATATGATTTAATTTAGTTTAAATTTTTACTTTATAGTTTGATTTTAATTTATTTTAATTATTTCATTTTATAATTTGATTTGGTTTTATTTTTTATATAAAATCTATTTATTTTTAATTGAATTGAATTTTAAAAAATAGTGATTCAAATCAAAATTTTTAATTTGTTATGAATAAAATAAAATAAATAAAATCTTAAAATTAATAATATTTTTATGAATTTAAATTTGAGTACTTGTATCAGAATTAAGCTTGAAATTTTTTAAGATATTAGTTTAAAAAATTGTGAAAAGTTTTAAATTACGAAACTAAACTAATCCGAAAATTTTAAGTTTTATCTCATTTAATTTTAATTCTACTTAAAAAAATCGCAATATACAATCAGCTGATTATTCACGTAATTAACCACATTAAAGAAAGGGGTTTCTTCTTCTAGAAAATAATTGGTTTTCTAACATTTATTGCCAGACCTAATTAGATGGACAGTTTGAGTGATTATGGATGTGTAAAAATCATATACTGTATCAGATACAAATGATAAAGATAGACACTTAAAAAGAAAGAGTAGGATCGTGAGAAGCAATTTGATTCCTCATTTCTATTCATTTGCATGTCTCAAATGATGTTTTCCTCATGCTTTTCAACTTCAAAGAGATGTTTACAACATTGTTTCTAAGAAAGAAAACAAAAGAAATAATCACAAGAATCAAAAGAAATCAATCCCAAAATAATTACCGGAAGGCTGAACATCTAAACCTGGAACCATGTTGTTCGTGGAAACTTTTGCCATGTCGGTTCTGGCAAACGAGTCCCTCATTGATAGCATCGGCACCTCCGGCGGATTTGCACATCGAATGAGTGCCCAATTGACACTCTGAAAGAACGGATGTTGTTTAATTTCAGTAGCCCCTCGCCTGTATGCAAGCCGATGCTGTGGTTCCTTTACGAGTAAACCTCGGATTAAGTCCCTCGCTGCGAAGCTCACATTGGGGTGATCTGGAAATTTCAATGGCTGGCCGATTATGTTAAAGAGTGTTGCTCGGTTCTCGGCCCCCTTGAATGGGGTTTTTCCGAACAAAAGTTCATATAGAAAAATCCCGAATGTCCACCAGTCGACAGCACTTCCATGGCCTTCACCTTTAATGATCTCGGGTGCCAAGTACTCGTGAGTGCCAACAAAGGACATCGATCGAGCATCGGTAGGTTCTGCAAGAAGCTCAGGGAGAAGACTCACTTGATGATTCGAGTCATTCTTTATTTTGCTCTTCTTTTCTTTCTTAGGTTTGCTCGCGAAAAAAGGTGGTCCGAAACATGCAGGTTGGATACAATCTGGCTGCATTACACATGTTGGCTGCAAACATGCAGGCTGAGTACAGAATGCTGGTGTTTTCGATTCCAGGTTTGAGTTTGATGATTTAACCAGTGTAGGGAAGACGGTACATCTAAGTGAGAGATCAAAATCCGAAAGCATTAGGTGTCCATCTTCTCGGACCAAAACATTCTCAGGTTTAAGGTCTCTGTAAATGATCCCAAGCATGTGCAGATACTCCAAAGCGAGGAGAACTTCGGCCACGTAAAATCTGCAGAACAACAGAAGAAGATTAACGACATTTCCTAGCTGTGCTATACCGCACACTAACACTCGATTCCGAGTAACATAATGAGGTGCTAACCTGGCAACTTGCTCTGGAAAGTGCTTTCCAGGTTGTCTTTGCCTGAGAGCATGCAAATCTCCTCCAGGGCAAAACTCCATAACCAAGCAAGAAAGCTTCTCTGTCTCAAAATGAGTATACAAGGTGGGGAGGAAGGGATGATCCAAAGATCGGAGAATCTCTCTCTCAGTTTGGGCTCGGAGAAGCTTCTTTCGACTTGCCAAAAGAGCTTTATCCATGACTTTCATGGCGAAATAAGTGTTCGTGCCGGTCAATACCGATTGATAAACACTCCCTATATCCCCACACCCCAGTCTCCTCACAACCCTAAAGTGCTTAAAGTCCAAGTCTCCTTTCCTTGCTCTAACAGCTTGGATTGCAGCCCATCTTATATCATTTGCTTTGTGGGGCTTGTAAATGGTACTGATCGAACAACTCGAGCCGCTTTCATCGCTAACATAACTGGCATTGCTCTCTCTATAGATGCTTATCTTCCTACTCACTTCATCACTTTCGTCACCGCTTTCTGTATTGGTGAAACTTTGTTTTGCTTCGGCATAGAGTGACCCGGTGCGGTAACTACTTGAACGACTCAGACAAATGCTTGGTTCTGATTGGGGTACAATGAGGTTGTTCAACTGAATAACACCGGGCTCAAGCTTTTCATATTCCAATGAACCATTTGAATTAGAACTCTTATGATCATCAGTGAGATGTTTGAAGGAAGATTTGCTTCCTGTTCGCGGAATCTTTCCCACCAATTCAGATTTCACCTTGCTCAAATCATAATAGTGTTCACAAGCCACAGTTTTTTCAGATTGCAATGAGCCGATGGAATTAAAACTCTTATGATCATCAATGGGATGTTTGAAGGAAGATTTGTTTCGCACTGTCAAAGCCTTCCCCACTGATTCGGATTTCGCCTTACTCGAATCATAGAAATGTACACCATGCACAGTTGTTTCATATTCAGGTGAAGCAATGGAACTAGAACTCTTAGGATCATCAATGGGATGTTTGAAGGAAGCTTCACGTGTCATTGTCAAAATCTTTCCTGCTGATTTTGAGGTCCACTTACTTGAATCATGATAATGTACAGCATGTACAGTTGTTTCATATTCCGATGAAGCAATGGAACTAGAACTCTTACGATCATCAACGGGATGATTGAAGGAAGATTTGTTCGCCACTGCCAAAATCTTTCCCACCCATTCGGATTTCATCTTGCTCGAATCGTAATAGAGGTTTGCCATATTAGGCAATTCTTCACACACCATGTTGTTGCAGGCTGATTTAAATGAACGCTTTTGAGAACATATCGAACCATCTGGATGTTGTTCAATCCTAACACCATGATATGTCGAAGAAAGCCCTTTGTTTTCGGAATTTTTCGGTAGTGGAGGCCGAGAAGGCCGCCTAGACATCCCAGACGTCAAAGGAGGGCTATTGTTTCCCATATCAGAACCTGGAGTTAGATTCTTTGATGAAGAAATAACAAGGGATTCCATTATCAATTCAAGAACACCTATCAATGCCAAACCAAATTCAAATTCAGCAAAGTTTAACTTATATATATACAGGTAAGAACTTTTAAAGCCATTAATTGCAGAAACTAGAAACTTAAATGTCCCCAACACACAAAAGGAAGGTTACAAAACACAAAGTCACATGCTAAGAATTTATTCAAAACCAGGAAATGAAGATTTAAAGTTGCAGTCTTAAATTCAAACAAAATATAGACACCAGCAAATCTGACAATTAAAGAAAACACTAAAGATTACATAGATACTAAGAAAAAGCATGAAAAAGAAAAACAAACTTCATTTATTCATATATAATCTTTATCAATAAAGAAAAAGAAAAGAACCCATCATAGAAAAAGGAAATTTAAGGAGGCCAGAGCCAGGTTACCTGATCATAGAACAGGGAAAAGAACGCAGGATAAGGTGAAATTTTCCATGAAAAGGAAAACCCAGAATTTTTTTTTTCCAAAAGGAAGCTGTTCTTTGAAGAGAAATCAGAAAAGTGAAACAGCTTTCCTTTATAGTTTGTGGGGATTTTGCCTTGTTTGAGTGTTATCTCCTCCAAAGAAACTGTTCAAGATCCGATCCAAACAAGAGAAAGGAAATAAAAGGAATCAGAAAACAAATGCCATTATTTTTTTTCGTCGCTTTTTTGAAAGAAAATTAAGTTGAAAAACAAAAGCTTTACTTAACAATTCGCAAAAGCTCAAAGCCTGTCATGGTCCTCATGGAGTGATCGTCCTCTCATTCCAAGTCATTAGCAATAGCAACTAAATAATAAGGGATAAACTATATCAAGTACCTTAACTTGTAAACTTTTATCAGTTTGGTTCTTGAATTCTTTTTACACACATTAATCCTGGAGTCTAATAACTTTTTTTCTGATCTAAGCCCTGAATTTAAATTTAATCACCATACAATAACATTTTTTATATAACCACTTATATTCGATTAATTAATCGATTAATCTAAATTGATAGAGGTCCAATATGAGAACAACCCTTCTAATCCAATTTAATTTTCAAAGGTATTAATCAACAATAAGTTTTTCTCAATTTCTTTTTTCTTTTTCATATTCTCAAATGAGAATTGCATATTCACGTGCATCTGCTTTTTTTTTTACCGCGTATACGTAAACAGAAAAGAAGTAAATATCTTTTGTATTTAATGCATTATTTTTTATTAAATTTAAATAAATATATATTTCCTAAACAAATTTAAATACATTTCCATTATTACATTTTCGGCGGGAACGTAAACTTCAAAAAACATTTATTTATTATATATTCATGATAGACATACACACGTCACACTCACACCCGAAATTCGAGTGATGTAGATTCATAGTTATTACGTCTGTTTTTGGTTTAACTGAAAGGAGATGAAGAGATAATTACCATGCAAAATATTCTAGCCGATGCTTTTAAGCTAATATTATGATATTTCATTGCAGGAAAGTACCAGTCCGGGTCATATTTGGTAATGAACGTTCAAATACTTTTGTAAATGTTGTGTTTGAATCTGAAACTTTAGAATATAATAATCATTCTTTAACCATTGATATCGCTGGATTTGGGCTATAAGTGCACATCTTAAATATATGAAAAGATTAGAAAATTTAAAACATGCCCATTTTAGAAATGTTTGTATTCGACGTTTACATTCGAGTTTGACGATCAAGTGATCGTTTTGCAATTTTTATGCTTCTCGGTTCCAACCAGAATTGCATGGATTTTCATTTGCTGTCAATTTGAACGATTGAATCATTCTGCATATAATCTTTTAGGTTCGATTATGGAGCATTGAATCCAGATATTGCTCGAGCACAAGATCCTCTACCGTCCGACAGAGATTAAAGGCAATGCCAACTGCAGAAAGTAGTAAACTATTGATGAATGCGAATGAAGAAGCAATGGTTCAAATAAAGCAGCCTGGTAGATTATATTCTTCAGATGAAGCATTGCACCAAATGAACACCTGAAGCCCAGAAGAAAAGGTTCTCATCAATTTCAGACTCAGATGAGACTTTTGAGAAAACACCCGAAGTTGCCATGAAGAGTCCATCTTCAATGTCGAATCCCCCTTCCTCGTTGAAACGGAAACCATCTGCGATTACTTTCTAGCAGTTAAATGATACTTGGTGGCACACTGAGGCAGACTGTATAAAAGTACGGAATTCAGGTGGGCAACTCAAAAGTCCTTCAAAAATTTACTTGAAGCAAGTTATAATAACCATGGTTTAGTTCAATAGTATGTGTTTGGCACATTTGAGTATAAATAAAGGATGATTCTTCAAACATATAAAAAATTCAGCAAATTACATCAATGACCATGGCAATAGTGTTATCTTATGTTACAAAAGCAGAACGTGAGGTTTACTCCAATCTGCATAATACCAATATGCACTACATGCAATTGAGAGTCAACAATGGAAGGAAGGAATTGAAGAAGTAATAGCTGTAATAAGAAACAGTAATTTAGCTAAATAATGAGGAAATTCTCATTACATTACCGCAATAACCAATCCAATGGCAAGAAGAAATCGGATGTTAGTGACCAGTCAAGAACTACTAACCTCAGGGAAGAGCGTGTTTGAGGTTTGCCTATTGAAGAATGTAAAGCTCTTGTTTAGCTATAACGTAGCAACCGATGAGATTTCCTGGTTCCATTATGAATTGTTCCTGAAATGTACCCATTCGCTTACTAGGAATGTCGATAGAAAGATCTTTAAAGTTAGGCATTCCCTCTACTTGTAAGCCATCCCCACAAATTAGAAACTGATTTCCGGTGATGAAGGATCCGGAGACACGGATCGCTACCCCATCTTGACCATGAGCACGACATTGAAGTTTTCCTACAACATGTACAAGCTTTTCAGGCGGCCAGTCACCAGCTAATGTGCCCCGGATACCGGACAACATCGCATGGATATCATTTGGACCAACAAACTGCTTCCCAGAGAAACTGAAAATAAATAAATAAAAAATGCATATTCCTCTTAATAATCATGAACCAAAAAGGCACAATGTGCTATCCACGTAAGTTTAACCAAGTTCAAAAATATTTCATAACTAAAACACTTTTGCCACATGGACATTCAACTGTAAAGTTTTTTAAATGGTATCCTAAACTTCTTAATTAGCTTCTGCATAAATGTTTCTGATCATGCTTACTCTAATGGCGTATTTATCACCATGGTAATACATTGGTTGGGAGAATAAATTTCAATTATCTTACATCATAATGTCCTTCAAGCCTGAAGAGAACTAAAAAGCAAGACATGTGCAAAGCAGGGAGATTATTCTACTGATGTACCACGAAAAGAATGATAAGAAGACAAACTTGATAGTTTGTTACCTAAAAGTTGAATCTTCATTGTACAGGGTCCTTGCATGCTGCCAGTTTTAGTCCGGTCCATCAAATAGTAAGTAATAGTGTAATGTCAACATCTGATCATGCAAATATTACTGTTAGTATTAAACATAAATAAAAAAATATAAGATAAATAATATGTGAATTTCAAGTTCCGTTAACTTGCCTACGTTAAATCAAAATTATTCTGACTTAAATGCCTAATCATGGTATAACCAGACCATCTGTTTTATATTCCTCCAAATTTTAGCGGAAAAAAAATTCAATATTTGTCAATGGAAGTACTAGGATCAAAACAAACTAATAGATAATTCAGGCAAGACCACATACACCTGATTTTCTTTTCTTAGTGGCAGGCCTTTCGACTATTAGCAACAGAAAATTGTTTTAACAGATATCAATATGCTAACCACCTTAAATAATGATTGATATTCTATCTTTGGCCATCTAATCAGCAGCAGGGTTTAAATAAATTGGACTATATTTGAAGTTTAAAAGAATATCTTGAATTTCATTCCTACATCCTACTTGACAATGGAAAAATGAAAAGAACAATGCACTCTAGCTCAAACATAACTGTCCGAATGTAATGCAAAATAATAGTTCAATATACTCACATCAGCCAAATCTTTCAGTCTTTGTGTTGGATCAAAAACGCTCCGAACAAATGCTGCTAAGTCAACTCTAGCATGCTCATGCTTTTTGATAAACGGGTGGGAAAGAAGCTACAATCAGAAAATATCAGTTTAGCATATGCTACGTTTGAACTGCCATATACTATGTTGTTCTAACTCTTAATTTTTTTTGAAGTACCAGTGTCGGAACACCTGTACCCAACACATATCCAGACATAAATATGGGATATGATCCTTCAAAGATCCAAATACACAGAAATATTAGAAAAAAATTAACATATCCAAGTCAGATACATACCCGTCTGAAACTCACAAACGAGTCTAGGTAACATAGGTCATGCATTCACTGAGGAGTACAAGTTACCTGCTCAGCTGTTGGTCTGGCATCTGCATCCTTCTGCAGGCAAGCATCAATAAAGGAACAGAACTCCAGCGAAAATTTGTCTTTTGGTGGCGATGGGGATGAATCATCCAAGATCTTCCATGGAAATTCAAAAATATTAATGTCATAATAAATGAACCAAGAAATAATATGTAAAGTTTCAGGCAACATTCACTGTTGAAAGATCTGTATTAAAGGAAATGGTATATCACCTGCAACATGAGATTAACAGGTCCTTCGTTGGCTGTATACGGAAATTCTCCAGTGCCGCACTCAAAGAGAGCAAGACCAAGGCTCCATATATCAGCAGGATAAGAATAGCTCTCATTTCGAATTCGCTCTGGTGACATGTATGTAACAGTTCCAACATAGGTAGCACACTAATAACAAGTCCAAATCAGTTGTTAGGCCTTTATAATATATTTTAATAACTTTTTATCATCTTCGTTAAACTTCAGTGAAAAAAACTCTATGATAAACTAATATAACCAAAGGTAATGACAGAAAAGAGAAAAGCAAGCAAAAATTGATTAACATCTAATGACTAACCATTGCCATTGAATTATCTAGGCCAGCACTTATGCCGAAATCTGTTATTTTGGGCTCCCC